GTTTTTTTTAATTGCCATACAGGTGTTCATCTGGGACACTTCTGGCTGCACAAGGACTGTGTGTCAGGCAGATGGGCAGGGAGAATGGAACATTGCTTCCAGGCTTATTGCCGGGTTGCTAAGTCCTGAGTCAGCTAAGTAGAAAAGGAGAAATGAGGCTCCAACTCCTGGAGGTGTGTGGACAACTTGGGGGAGGATGACTTGAGTCCTTGGACAGAAGGGAGAAGGGTCAGGTGGGGCTGGGAGCTAGGAAGGTGGGCAGTGAGTTGGGCCCCTTCAAACAGGGGAGAGCAGGGCCATGAGGGCAGGTGAGGAAGGTGCTAGGAGTCAACTCTAGGAGCAGAGGTCTGAGGACTGCCAGCCTGAATCCCAGCTCACAGCCTGGCCTTGGGCCTCTGCTGTCTGTTCCCACGCCGTCTCTTAGACCCTTCATATTCAAGAGCCCTCTACGCTGCAGGGTGGAACCCTCTTCCTCACGGGCCAGGTCACGCACTCTAGTCCAGCTCAGTGGTCCTGCACCCTGGGAAGCTCCCTCTACCTCCACAGCAAGTTGTTCCTACCTTCGCTAAACACCAGGGGTAATGTTTCTTTACTGTGAGAAAGCTGTTACTCCTCTGCACTGTAGTCACCTGGCAAAATGTCCAACTTCCTGTTATGGGCTGAATTGTGTCCCCCCAAATTCATATTCTGAAGTCCTAACCCCCAGTACTTCATAATGTGACTTTATTTGGAGTACAGCTTTTAAAGAGATAACTGAGTTAAAATGAGGTCGCTTGGGTGGGCCCTAATCCATTATGACTGGTGTCCTTATAAAAGGGAGTAATTTGGACACAGATATGCACAGAGGAAAATGATGTGAGGACATGGGGGAAGATGCTTGTCTATAAGCCAAGGAGAGAGGCCTCAGTGGGAATCATCCCTACCTGCACCTTAATCTCAGACTTCTAGGCTCCATCCGGAACTATGAGATGGTAAATTCCTGTTGTTTAAGCCACAATGCCCGTGGTATATGTTATAGCAGCTGGAGCTGACTGATATACTTCCTCTGAAGGCCTGTGCATTCCCATGGCAGGAGTGCAGTCTGCAAATGAACACATCCTTTTCCCTCCCCAGCTGAACTCCTTCAGCATCCTCACCCCTGTCTTCCTCCTGGGACAGTCTCTCTGCCAGGTCCTGCTTCTTTGTCCAGGGAGCCAGACAACAGACCTCAAGGGAAGTGGTGCGTGCTGAAGATTGAGGGGGCAGCAGGGCCCAAAGACAGGAGCAGGATAAGTCTTTCACTTGTTTTTATTTGATTTTTCAGGCTTGGTTTGGGGAGTGGCAGTTGTTGGACTGGAAAGCCAAGAAGGATCCACTGAAAGCTGATGGGGCTAGGGGAGGGGAGGGGTGGAAAATTCCAGCAAGGAGACTGGGGTCTGAGACAGAAGGAAGGAGCAGAGGGGCTTGGCGGGTCACCACAGGGCCTGCTGTGGGGCCTGGAGCAGGAACAGCAGCAGGGGCCAGGGCTGTGGGGGCACAAAGCCCGTGCCGGGCCCCGGCGAGCCAGCAGCTTGCAGAGGCTGGTGTGGAAACTGGGTCTGAGGAGGAGCAGACATGGCATCAGGGAGAGGTGTGAGCTTCTGGATCTCATCGATCCAATCAATGAAGTAGGAGACATTGGTGAAGACGCTGGGGTAGATGGGATGTCGGCAGTCCAAGCCCCAGCTGGCCAGCCCCACCAGAACCCAGGCATTGGTGAGGTCGCAGACAAGGGGTCCCCCGGAATCACCCTAGGAAAGAGAGGGGAGTCAGTGTGGGTGGCTGGGCCAGCGCTGAGAAGACCAGGTAGCAAGGCCGGGCTCATGAGTGTCTGCCACCCAGGCTCACTCAGGTGGACCTCTTTGAAAGTCCAAACACCAGTGTCCCTCTGCAGCCACAGTCATGCAGGCAGGCGCTGGCATCACACTTCAGGAGGCTCCTGATTGACCCCCAGGATAGCTGTGGATTGAAATCTACAACACATGGACACTTGCACCCAGGGAGGCCCTGGTGGTCCAGGACAGGGCGCTGTCCAGGCTGAGAAGGGACAGCTGCCCCAACAGGGCCCAGGAGGACTGGTCTGTGAGTGGAGCCTGGTCAGGTCAAGCCGCTTCAGACTTCAGTTCTTGCAAAACCCTGAGCTGCAGCAGCACATCCCCACCTGGGTCCTCCCCCTTTTTCATTCATTTAGGCCTTTGGTTTTCTCTCAACCTCTTGAGGGAAAAGAGAGATGCTCTTTGTGAGCAGCCTCAGAAAATGCTCATACCCAGGCCTGGCGGGGGCAGCCTGCATTGCTCAGGGAGCAGGAGGGGGTCCCCAGAAAGCTGCTGGGAATCACTGGAGTCCCAAAATACTGTCAGGGGAGGACCATCTGGTTGAAAATCCTCTCACTTCGTCAGCCGAAGGGAGGGTCTCACCCTTGGGCGTGGCAGGAGTGGAGCGGGGCCACAGCCACGCCTGCCGCTCTTCCGCTCCCCTGTCCACATGCACGTCAAGCCTTCAGGGCAGCCTCGCCCCTGGGCACGGGGGTGAAAGGACAAGGCTCCTCCCCCATGGCGCTTCTGTCACTAAGCCAGCTGGCCTGCCGTGGTCAGATGTGATGTGTGGAAATAAGCCATGGAAGGGACAGGACAGGCAGGATGGAGGCACAAAGACTTCCTGAGCTGAGACTCTAACCAGGGAACAACCTAACTGATGCAGGAGCAGAGGGAGCGGTAAGTGCAGGCAAGGAGAAGAGGGATGGGCCAGATGGCAGATGCGGGGAGCGGGCTGTGGGGCTGGGAAGGTGAATGAGCTCTAGTCTGATTGCTTGCTTCGATGTTCTCGGTGAAATAAGAAGCAAGACCTCTGGCTGAGAGGGAGGGTGGGGGAAGCGGTGGCTTGAAGGAGAGAGAGGGGTACGTGGTGTGGCCAGCCGAAAATAACCCTCAGAGATGCCCATCCTCATCCCTGGAACCTGTGGTTATGTCACCTTATGTGGCAAAAGGGACTCTGCAGATGTGGTGGAGTTGGGGATCTTGAAGTCGGAAGCTCATCTTAGATTACCTGGGTGGGCCTAAGGTAGTCACAAGGTCCTCATGGGGAAAGAGGGAGGTGGGAAGCCAGAGTCACACGAGGTGTGATGACAGAAGCAGAGCTTGGAGCGATGTCCTCTGAGGCTGGAGGAAGGGGCCATGAACCAAGGAATGCGGGCGGCCCCTAAAAAGCCAGAAGAAGAAAGGACACATTCTCCCCTAGAGCCTCCAGAAGGAACGTGCCTGGCCAGCATCTATGTTTTAGACCTTTGACCACCAGAAACCTGAGATAACAAATTACTGTTATTTTGGCCACGCACTTTGAGGTGGTTTGTCTCAGCGGCCCCAAAAAAGTCATACATGGGGCTCCTCGGAGAAAGGGAACGTGCCGTCATCCTCTCAGCTCCTCCCCTCTGTGGTCCCTGCCTGGAGTGCCCTCGGCCCTCCCCACCATGTACCCACTCCTGGTTGCTCAAGGCCAGGGGAAGGCCTGGTCCTTGTCCACTCCAGGCCTCAAGGATTCATGCAGATGAGCCATGTGGTTGCCAACATCATGATGGATTCTGGGCCAGTCTAGAGAAGATGGGAAGGGCTCGAATAGCCTCCTGGCCCTTGGGGAGCTCTCAGAAGGCAGAGGGAACCCCAACACTAATATTTCCCAGGCAAAGTGAGCTGTGGTTTGCACTGCTGTAAAGACAGAGCCAACTGTGTGTGTGTGCATGCACGGACACACCTGCACGTGTGTGTTGAGTGGGGCCAGGCAGTGGAATCCACCCTGAGTGAGAGGAAGACCTAAGACAGGCCCAGAACAGGTACAATTAAGATAGAGGGGGGCAGACCAGGCCAGGAGAATGAAAGCCAGCACTTGTCAAGCACCTACTGAGTGCCAGACACAGCTCTCAAATTGTTACAGGAACCTTATTAAGTGGAGGCTGTTAGTGACCCCATTTCATGGGCGAGGAAACTGAGCTGAGGCCACAATCCCGGTAAACAACAGACTAATGCCTGGAACCAGGCCCGTCCTGCCCCACAGTCTTGAGTGCTGAGTGCCCCTGTGGCCCTTCTCTCCTCAGACCTGTTTCTGGGGGCCCTGTGCAGGGGCAGGGACACTTTAGGGGAGAGAAGAGAGCCCCGGGTTGGAGGGTGGGGGCCAGAGCAGGCGACGTGGCAGGAGATGAATCTAGAAGGAATCTCTCAGGTGGGCTTGGGTGACTGAAAGGCTGAGGGAGGCAGGAGGGGGTCACCTGCTGGGACTCCTGGGTGTCCAGCTCAGTGGTGTCCTCAAGCTGTGGGGCGGGGGGCCTAGAGGTCAAGGCCACTGTGCATGTCCGGTGGGCAAGCAAAGGGCTCCAGCCCTATGCCCCATTGGCATGGCCTCTGCAGGGGAGGGCAGGTGGAGGACAAGGCTGGAAGGTGGGTCCAGAGTGACAGCCAGATGGGGACTTGGGAGGATGTGGGCTGAGCCCTTTGTTTCACCTCTGGGTGCAGCTGACTCCGTGAGAAGGACGGGCCAGGCCAGACAGTCAGAAAGTCCACACCATTGGTTAGGGCCTGGGACCCAGGAAACCTGGGTCCACCTCCTACCAAGGGGGCAGGTGGCCAAGCTTCCCCCTCGGGCTCAGCAGCTCACTGGGCCGTCATGGAACCTACCGTCAGGGTGACCCTCCCATGGGCCAGGCGCACCCCACCCCTCCCGTGCGGGTCTCCTGGGGCGCCACAGCGTATCACCCCAAACTGAGTGACTCTGAAAACAACAGAAATGTGTCCCCTCACGGTTCTGGGAGCCGGAAGTCTGACACCGAGCGTCTCTGCGTCTGTCTCTGTTCCTATAAGGACACAAGTCATTGGATTCAGGGCCCACTGTAAATTCAGAATGGTGTCATATTGAGATTCTTATCTAGTCACATCTGCAAAGCCTCTAATCCCAGTTAAGGTCATATTCTGAGATTCCAAGTGGATACAAATTTAGGGGACACTATCCAACCCACTACACCACCCTTTCCACAACGCCATGAAGGAGGCCTCAGAGTCCCACACTGCAAATGAGGACACAGGCTCAGGGGGTGAAAAGGCCACCAGAGGTCACAGGGCAGGGACACGTGGCACAGCAGTGTCTCTAACTCAAGCCCAACACTCTCCCCTCAACCCCACGGTGCCATCTGTGTGAAAGATGTGATGTCAGCGTGGGAGGCTGGGCCCTGCGGGGGAGGCAGTGGGCTTGGAGTCAGGTTGTACTGCCTTATTTTAGGATACAGCTCTCCCTCTCCGGGCCTGTCTGCCCACTTACAACATGGGGCACAACAAAGAGCAGAAAGAGAGCTCCACACTCCATATACCCAACAGCAGCCTCATATCTGGAATATAGAAAAATATACAAATATACCAAGAGCCCCTCAAGGAAAAGAGAGACAACCCAAGAGGAAGACGAGAGGGGAAAGAACTAGAAGGGAAGCTTTACAGAAGAGATCCAGTGACAATAAACATATGAAAATACATTTAATGTGTCATCAGGAAAACGAAGATTAAAACCACAATAAGATATCAAAATGAGAAAAGATGGAAAGTGCCGAGTGTGGGCGAGGACACAGAGCCTCACCCGCGGCTGGAACGGGGGCGTGTGGCGAGCCCTTTGGGGGCGTCTGGTAGCATCTGCCAGAGCTGAACACACACATACCTTTTAATCCAACAGTTCTCCTCATGGGCTTGTCTGAAATAGACTACGAAACATTTGGAAGCGAAATGAAACAGAAAGCTTGGGAACTGCTAGAACACCCAACAAAAGCAGAACGGACCACAGAAGTCAGTGCCTCCCAGAGTCCTGGGAGGCGACGAGGATGAACAGACTAACTGAAGGCGGTAGCAGGGGTGCAGCTCACACACAGTTGTGAAGCCACGGAAGGCTGACACCTGGAAGTTAATTCTACTTACGGAAAACCCATGATCTAATCTGAGGTGTTGCGAGTGAAGGTGGCGGTTTCCCCTGAGTGCTGGTGACGGGAAAGGGACACGAGTGGGGCCCCGGTGTTGGTCACATGTTGCGTCACTATGTGAAGATTCGTCCGCCCCACACCTATGACAACACTATGGATATACTTTTTTGTAAGTATGTTACACCTCAATCAAAACTGTAAAATATGCCTCAAAAACAGACGCTGTCTGAGGTCCTGCCAGTAAGGCTCTCAGGGACAACAGGCTTAGGAAGGGGCAGCC